ATAGCGTTTACACTTACTAGAATTTGTGCTACCCAAATTCCCCCTATTAATAGGATCATTTCTAAGAAACCAATTATCCCTAAACACATGCCACGTCCTCGTTCTTGACGATGCATTCCTTGAAGCCTCTGTCCCCATCTCCGGACCTTGTCACGCAGTAGGGTAGAAAGAGGACGCGGCACTGTATCCCATAATTCTGATGTGCTTTTGTTTTCATTCAGTTTAAAGTATTTTGCAATTTCCCTTGTGGGTCTTCTTGACCATCAGTTATTTAGAAGTCTGTTGTTTATTTTCCAAAAATTTGAGAATTTCCGAAAAACCTTTCTATTGTTGATTTCTAATTTAATTCCATTATCATAAAAGTACTTGGTGTAATTTCAATCCCTTTAATTTTTGTGAGACTGGCCTTATGAAATAGCATATACTAGTCTATCTTAAAAATTGTTTCATGTGTGCTTAAAAATAATGTGCATTTTGTTGTTGATATGTGGAGAGTCGTCTTTAAATGTCAATTAGGTCCTTTTGATGATGTTCAAGGCTTTCATATCCTTACTCATTTTCTCTCTACTTCTATCACTGAGACAGGAGTAGCTAAATCTCTAACTGTGACTGTTGTATTTTCTATTTCTCCTTAACTTCTGTCAGTCTTTATTTCATTTGGGTGTTATGTTGTTATAAGCATATATATTTATATTATATGTTTCTGATGTATTAACTCTTTTATCATTATAAATCGTTGTCAACAAAATCATTGCTAGTAATAATCTTTGTCTCAAGGAATATTTCATCTCATATTAATATAGCCATTCTAACTCTATTATGGTTACTGTATGCATGCATTTTTTTTCTCATTTTTTTACCCTCACCTATCTGTAGCTTCGAATTTTAGGTATTTCTTTTGTAGACAGAGAGTAAGATCTTGTTTTTTTTAACTCCATTCTACCTCTGCCTTTTGAATGGAGTATTATTGTCATATATATAAAACCTTTATATATATCACAAAACATAATAATGTAATAGAGTTATGGCTTTAAAAAATCTTCTGATTTTAAAGAAATTAAGACAGAAAAATTATACATAAATGTTATAGTCTTTTCATTTACTCATGTGTTTCTGATGACTTTCATTCCTTCCTGTGGATCTGAGTTACTATCTGTAATTTCCTTCAGCCTGTAGGATTTACCTTGTTTTTTCCTGTAAGTCAGATCTGCAGTGAAAATTCTATCAATATTTGTTCTATCATTTTTTGTTCATCTAGGAATATCTTTATTTTGCTTTTTTTAGAAAAGATAATTCCACTAGGCTATAGAATTCTTTTTCAACTGTTTTTTCTTTCAATACTTTGAATACATAATTCCTCTTTTTTGTGGCCTCCATTATTTCTTATGAGACATTAACCATCAATCACATTGTCATTTCCTTCTATGAAATGAGTTGTTTTCTCTCACTGCTTTCAAGATTTTCTCTTTCCTTTGGCTTTTATGAATTCGAATATAATGTGTCTAGTTGCATTTTTTGTGCACGTTATATTTTCTTGGTGTTCATTGAACTTCTTGGGTCTGGAAATAAATGTTTCTCATCAAAATGAGAAGTTTTCAGCCATTATATTTTGAATAATATTTTGCCTCTTTCTCTGCCCTCCTTTCATGACTCCCAATAAATATATGCTGGAATGATTTACTTGTGCAGATCTCTGAAACTGTATTACTTTTTAAAATTTCTTTTCTTTTTGTTCTTTGAATTAGACAATTTTTATTGATCTATTTTCTAATGCACTAAGGTTTCTACTATTTCGCACCTGTTGTTGAGTTCACCTAGTGAATTTTTTATTTCAGTTATTATACTTTTCAACTCTAGAATTTCCATTTGATTCTTTCATGTGGGTTCTCAAGAGTCAATTTCTCTTGACTGCTTTTTTCCTCCTGTGTATGAGTTGCACTCTTCTTTGTCTTAGCATGTCTTATAATGGTTGTGTGAAAATAAAAATTTTGGATAACATATTGTAGCATCTGCGCATTCTGTTTTATTTTTCTAAGGCTCATTTGTATTGTGGGTTTTTGTTATTATTTTGTTTCTTTGTCATAGTAACTTCTTGAACTTAAACCACACTAGAGCCAATGATGTGTCTGCTCAGTTTTTTTTTTTTTTTTCTCCTTAGCCTTCCTTTCTGGGGCTCTCCCTCTGCATAGT